ATGCAGTCGCCGATTCTCTACTGTTTCTTGTATACATGTATACTCTCCAAGGCATGTACCAATTGCGATGAAACCTTTCACATCTATACCGCAGTTTACCAGAGTCCATAACTGCGCAGGTTGAAAGATGGTGGGGGAACGCAGCGAGCTCTCTGCTAATCGCTTTCCACTTCGTTTGGAAGTATCGCCAATCAGGGCGAAGATGCGCACTGGAGAAGCGTGAAGAACGAAAACTGGTCTTTTCGCAGTTATGAACTCTGGTGAACTGCGGTATAATAGGAGATATTTCCGCGATATCTCATTTGCAAAAATTTATGCAATTTGTTATTGTTAATAACTATTGTTGTAACTTGTATGGAACTTGTTATCGTTAAAAACTATCGTTATTGCAATTAACCAATAAGAACGGTAAACCACTTTACGGCGTCCTATAAATACTGCTCGTTCCACTAAAAAGTGTGAAATAAAATAATTTTTAACACAAAATACAACCGACTTCGAAATGCACTGAAAAGTATGAAATAATTTCTACTTCATTTGTACCAATATTCCATAGCTATTAATAAAACCTATTTGATCATTAAATAGTATACTAAATACATTTCAACCTTTTCAGAGGCGGCGCAACATTAAAAATACCCGAACAAATGATGCTGTCAGTAACGATTTGATTGCGGTATGGCGAGCTTGGTAATTAATAAGTCGTAAGGAAAAATTTCGAATATTATAGATACGGCGGAAAATATTTGTAATTGTAACGATTTTAAATATTTACATTTGTAATTGTAAAAATCTTAAAATTTTTAGGATCTGGAATTTTGTGATTTCGAAAGGCTGGAATTTAGGAAATCTAAAATTTTATAATATTGGAAATGTGGAATTTTGATAACCTGGAATTTTGAGATTCTGAAATTTTGTAATTTTTGAACTGTGGACTTTTGAAATTTTAGAATTCTGAAATTTTAAAAATATGTAATTTTGAAATTATGAAATGTAAAAACTTTAAAATCTTTTAAATGATAAGGGTCCATATTTTTAGGGAGATTAGATTTATTCTGGTCCCTACTTAGTTACGCTACTGGTTCCCATTTGCATATGTATTTTCAAACTCCTTTGAATTTTAAAAATAGTATAAGAGCATTTGTCGATTCGAGAAAGACTCCAACGATCTTAGAAATTACGGAATACAGAACTTCAAAAGAAGGAACTTTATTGAATCAAGATCAAAAGCAGCTCAGTGACCATGAAGAAGTAATCAATTCAGTGTCTGTGAACAAAATGACAAATTACTGCAGGAGGTGGATCAATATCAGAAGCTAGTGATCTTAACCACTTTACAGTAAAAATTCATCAAAGGAAGTATTAATTTTTTATTTTCATACTAATTCCTCTGGTTATGATAAATGTAACAGTCTTTATGATATTTTTTTTCCAATTTCGTTTCTTTCAGTATAATGTCCAGATTTTTAAGCAGCTTTGATGATAAAACAAGTACGGCTTTCTTTTATCTTCAGAGAAAAATATTGCCTGAGGATAGGATTTCATAAAGCTACAAGAAAACGCAATGAACGAATAAGTGCATCCTTTTAGTCTCTCTAATGTACCCTTCCATTTTATAACAAATTAGAAAAAACTAATAGAAAAATAGGACTTTTTATTTAGCCATAACATTTCTATAGAAAAGAAATTAAAATATGAATATAAAAACAGAAAATATAATTAATCGAAATATAGTTTTTCGTAAAAATAAGCAATATATTTTTTTATTTTGATGTAATTTTTTATACAGGGTGTTTCAGATCGGGTAGTACAACCGTGAAGGGAAAGATTCTATAAGCAAAAATAATCTAAAAAAAGAGTACATTTTTTGGTTTCTGCTTTCATTTTCGAGAAACTGAGTTCCGATTTTTTCCATTCTCTGATATGTTACAGTACATCAGAAAATGTTAGAGACGTATTTTTTATGCGCGTTAATTTGTTCATTTAAGGGTTGGGAATCGCTATCAAGTGTTACTCCGAAAACTGGTCTTTTTTACATATCTTGAAAATGAATTAGAATTTTTGGAAAAAGTCAACAGAAAATTATTTGTCATAAAAGGACGATATTGTATGCATTATTTTATCTTAAAAGATTGCATCCTCTAATATATATAATGAAAAATAACATTCCTAAACGCGTGTTTCGAAAACGAAAGTTCAAACGACAAAATTTATTCTTCTGTTTTTTGGCTTATTGTTTATTATAGAAACACCCTCTACTTGGTTGTACTACACGACCTGAGGCACCCTGTATGTAAAGTTGAAATATATTCGCGATCAAATCAGGCTTCCCTATGTAAAACGGTGATGTCCAGGCAGTGCCGGTTTTAGCAATATTGGCGCCCTGGGCAAGATTATCGTGCCGCCCATTCAGGGGCTAAAAACCGCGTCAGGGAAGATGTAGACTTAAATGCTGCATCATATATAGCATATATGTAATATTACATCTGAGATGTAGATAGAGAGAAGAGACAATGAGAACATATCGGTATATTCGCATATTAGGGACACTGGGCTGCGACGCCCCCTACAGATCTAGCGCCCTGGACGATTGCCCGACCGCGTCCCTCCCCCAACGCTGGCACTGTACCCAGGGTTCACTTCCTTCTTCGTAGGCCTGTTCTCAACCGGACTCCTATCCCTCTCTGTAGGTACAAGCGTAAAGCACCTGGTAGGTGTAGTTGCAAACCCAATCAGGTTAGTTGTTTCGACCCAAGAACAAAACTTCTTACGTCGACGAAGAGTTAAGTATTAGGTCTTCGGTACCTGATTCAATAATTAGCGAAACCATGAGAAGGCAGTTCATCCTTGCCTGGCACCATTGGTGGTGGTGGCTACTGGACAGTAGATTTATTTTATTTTTAAAGATCGGCCGGCATAAGCAGGAGCTTGGAAAAGGCAGAGCGGGTTTATAACCCCACAAGGCTCAAACACACAATAACTTTCTCCGTAGGCGCTCCCTGCGAGAATGACCATGTAGGGGAGAGGAACACATATACAAGGTATTGCAAAACATGTGGGCATAGCTTCCAAGGTGGATTCAGTACGTTAAAATAAGAAAAAAAGTTCGTATGGTTTCGAATTATGTACAACTATTTCTGTTTTCCAATAATTCTTATGACTCCGCTGATTCGTTCCTTCGACTGTTTATAAGTAATTTTATCTTATGTACGACGTTCTTGTCTGCTATGTAAACACTATTTTGTAATTTTTGGGGTATCTTTCCTATAGGTTTTCTAGTGTGTCCATCGCTCTGTCTTTCTGTGGAGAAAAACGATAAGAGATAAACGGAAACGGTTTTTGCTATTATGTTTCTCATGGTCTGAAACCGTGCGTTTAAGGAGGTAGACACGGCACGTGACCTCTCCGATTCAGGACGTCGGTATTACAGCAGTATTATACTTTGCGATCATATAAATGGTGGGCAGAAATGTATGACGTACGATAACTGATTATAACCAGTGATGATATTGTAAAGTTTCACGATACAATGAAATTCCTATGATTTTTCGAAAAAAAAAAAAAAAAATTGTTGTAAATGCAAAGTAAGAAGCAAGCTGTAAAGGGGAATCACACACGCTATTAAAAATTTCTCTAGACCTAGTGAGCTGTGCGAGTTAAGTGCGGTCACTCGTGAACTGCAGTACAGTTAATTCGCAATGGGTATGTTGATTCCCGTTGAATATTGTTTACTTGAAATTATCAAATGGGTCATTTATCATAGGTTGCCAACGCCCGAGCTAGGATCTTCTTAGTAGAGGAAAATTTTTAATTTTGCGCCACCTCCGAAAACTTTGAAATGTATTTGGTATCCTATTTAACGATTAAATAGATATTATTAATAGCTATGGAATATCGTCCTCACTAGCTCCGCTCATGTCATAAACTGGCTTTTCCGAAGGGTAAATTAAAATTCGATACTTCGTAACGGTACCCTAGCCTTCGAGGGTCAACCTGGATGAAAAAACTCTGGCGTAACCGGACTTTCGAGGTTCTCGTGTACGAACCGATATCGCCCCACCCTCTCTAGACGAAGACGCGCTAAGGGCGCTAGAGAGGGTGGAACCGATCTTCGGGGGACACGCTGATTGGAATTTTGACTTTTCGAAAGAAAATCAATCAGCGCGTTGTCCCCCAACTCGACGTCTCCATCGGAGTTAATATAGAGGCGTTCGTAACGCATCGAGACGTCTGTATAGGAAAAATTCTATGTATTGTACAAAAGTTTTTAATTAATATCTCGGAAACTAATAGGAAGCCGAAGATACCACTTTATATTTGGGATCCTCTCCACCCTCCCCCCTTCCCCTCAAAATTTCATCTTGATCGGCGACCGGTCGTATTCGGAACTACAGCCGAACTAATCTCCACCGTTGAAGGATACACCCCCTGAACTGACTTTTGAATCTGTCGGAAATTAACTTACATCTGTTTAAAAGTACAACTGAAAATTCAATTTCGTGGACGTAAAGCAATTAGAAACTATTGGAAATAGGTGGTGAAACAAAAAATAAAATAGCAGAAAATACTTTAAATAAAAAACTTTATTTTAGCACTTGGAAGGGCACGTCCGTACAGCTCGAAAGAAACAGTCAGACTAAAGAAAGGTCAGTAACGAAGAATTCGTCACGTACCCATAGATTCTATCGGTCCTATTCGTTGTCTAAATAAGCCAAGAAGGGACACAACTGCACCCTCGTGACTTGTGCCTCGAAAAAGAAACTCAATACGTACGTCGATGGTTTTTGTAAAAGAATGAAAAACTTTCTCTTCTTGAAAGAGAAAAGCCAACAGAAACTTTCTAAAGTTTCAGAAATGTAATAAGCGGTTTAATTCCTTTTCCAAAAAGTTAGTAAGTAATGAAATTCCCTAGGACAATGAAGCGATGAATATAATAGATAGAGTATGACTTTCCTTCGCTTATTTGAGATAATCTATCATAAGATTCGATGGAAATTTACCTGCTCATGCATAGGGAAAATTCCACCGAGGATTATGTCACCGTTGATACGTATTAGCTTCGAGCCATCTTCGTCGTGCGCCTTTCGATTGTGGCACTCGCTTACAACCAGAGAATATGATATCCATGTTAAAATCTTTCCTACGGTCATCTTGATCATTGAAGTTGAAATTGCTTTCTACTGCCTGGAACAGAATAAAAATAGTATGTAATACTTACACCATAAATAATTAAATCGTATTTATTTAATATTTATTGCATTTTTGTTTAATCCTAAACAAAGTGGTAAGTCGTAAAAGTGGCTCTATTGTAGCGGTAAGTGCCACAGCGGGGTCTACGCTAGGAACAGCAGACCCAAAGAATAAGAAACCGCAACAATAGGGCCGCTTTTACGACTTGTTACTCAAACCGAGACGTATCTACTGAAAATCGGGTAATTTGTAAACGTTATATCTTAAAAACTAGTTAAACTCGAGTGTATACATTAAAGCTTAATGAATTCGTCTTGAGAAGCACTATTACATGATCTGAAAAAGAATATATGGTTCCATTTAAAAAACGAAACTTGACCATCATATCTTTTAAACTAATAATGTAAATAAATTTTCGTTCATGTCAAAACATAGGTCCCATTGCACCGTGCAATTTCCATATAAACAATTTTTCGTGTCATCAATAGTTACGAAATAAAATGCCTGTCACACTTTAGCGCGGACACCCTGTATACCTACACTATACAGGGTGACCCAGAACTGGGGTAGGACCCGTGGAGGGACGATTGCTGAGGTCATTGTAAACAACTTTTTCCTTTGCCAAAATATTGGCAATTAATAACTCGAAAACGAAGCCTTAACCAACATTTTGGCAAAGAAAAAAGTTGTTTACAATGACCTCAGCAATCATCCCTCCACGGGTCCTACCCCAGTTCTGGGACACCCTGTACATGTATATCAATAAAAAACTATTCGTGCATCCATTCCTTTTCACGCATCTGAATACTGGTTCAGGACAATGCGAGATAGGTTATCTGCTCAAATGTTAGAAGTTCAAAATACGCGCGCTGGAAGTTAATATTCTAATTTATATTTATTTATATTGTTGCGGGCGAAACCACGTTGTTTAGATTTAAAAATAACTTTATTTTATTAACGCTGAGATCCGTGGTAGATTTCTTACAATTGTTGAACAAGTACAATGTGTTCTCTTCGGTTGATGAGGGATCGTCCCTGCAGGCGTCACTAATTAATTCTGCTCTGCACACGTGGCCCTTCTATTTAATATGGTTTCCTATCTCATTCCTGAATTTTCCCAGACGTTACTGAACCTAATGTTGATCCGATGTTTTGGGTCTCAGGTTACCGAGACTACTGACTCAATTTCTTATGTTGTTTACGGGGTTTGATCGGTGAAAATATCTCAAAAACGAAGTTGCAGATTGTATAATAGTAAAGAAACTTTAGATTTGTTTTTGCGAGAAAAATTTGCGATTACATATTGATTTGTACGGTATTCTTAGGACATCCTGTATTTTGTACTGTTTAGTTTTATTGATGCTCCTTCGTGAGATTCTTTCTCACTAGGAGACTGCGTACGCGCGCGTAAGTGGGTCCATAACAGCTAAGTACATCACGCGATGTCATAGCTGTATCTACTGTTCACTGGTGACAAGAAGTCTTGCGGGACGGCAGAGGGGCAAGAGAGGATACTACGCACACATCGATTGAGCCCTTAGTTTTATACGAACCTAATTACATAGTACATACATGTGATCACTTCGGCCGTCATGACCGAAAATACAAGGGAGCTGAGGTGGGGCGCGACCAATCAGATTGTGTTATTCTCGTGGGACTTCTTGTGATTAGTGGACAGTGTATATGTATTTAACGTACGATAGTTTTCCTGTCTGTAATGTCACTTATGCATGTAAGCCTCCTATAAGAAAAAATCTTACGAAAACGCATTATGTATTGACTAAGTAGTTGCCTAGTTTAACTTTTACTGCCACAGTAGAAAAAACCATATGTAATCAGATATACTACAACTATAGTAATTATTAAGGATATGATCAGCTAATTTTCAAATGTAGGCTTCTAAATTAGTAACTTTGTTATTAATATCATACTGCAACTATTCAACCTTTACCTTGCCTTCTCTTTTCTTTTACTAATTATTCAATTATACAAAATTTGAGACGTCGGACATCGGTTATTGATATGACAGTCAATGTATTAAAAAGTCATACCTTATCGTATTCTAGATAAACACACTTTTAAAAAAATATATAACTTACTTATAAATTGCATAACAATTTTGAGCTTTTTTCAACATTTCAATTTTTATTGTTAACCATGTTAAACATATTCTTTAACATTTTTATGTACAAACCTGTGACTTTGTTACAGTTTTATTTATTTACATAACTACTTATAGTCAATATGAAGTAAGTAACTGGTTATAATTAAAAATATTGAAAACCATTGAAACATTTTAATAAAACATTATTGTATGTACTCATACTTTCTATAATTGAAAATAATGCGAATCACACTCAACACTAACATAACAATACATAAATGAAAAGAATTTTCAACGACTATTTGTCTCCTAGTCCTGATGATCCCCTATCTTATCCGATAACAACTGTACCGGAAAAGGAACTATACTGTTACTTCCGCTTAGTTTGGGTGGTTCGCCGCTAGACGGCTACCGGTTTTTAGGATCCGTATATCGAACTCCAACAACGCAATTTCGATAGTTGATTGTTTGACCAGGAATAGGGTGTACACGTGCAATACAATGTCGAAGAAGACTCAAGGAAAGAATGCTTTCTATTTCTTTATGCTTGACTGGAAGAAGCGGGAAGAAGCTGGAGGAAGAGTGTTCCCTGAAGGCTTAAAAGATGTGCAACGAGATATAAAGTGTAGCGAAGAATGGCAGGTCTGATTTCAGTTTTAAATTTAACGCTTTTACATCATATTTTCGAACAATATTTATATAATTTAGGACCCCATCAAGGCCAACTTTGAAACTTTATCTATAATTCGAATCTTCTTAATTTAAATGCAATAAACAATACATGTTGACACGTTCATTGTAACGGTAACTTCTGTTTTGAAATTTCACGTTGAAAACATGAAGGTCGTGCGAGCCACGTGTCTGTTAAATTAAAATGTAATCTAATCAGTGCATTATGGAAAGTTGTTTCGTTGTTCTATACAATAGATAGACTATTATTATTACAATGATTTTTTTAGCATATACTGATGCATAACTGAATAAAAGATAGAATAGAAATGAAGAATATATTATAGTTTAAAATATACAAAAAATCAAAATATTATGTTTTAAATATAATTATTTGAAGTATCATTATATTATACAAAACATTTTTGTATCATTTGTGGTCACAAGAATATCATTTTTGAGTAGACAAATTTCCATTTGTGACCACTTATAAAATTGGTAATGCGAAACATCCATATTAAGAATGATAGGTTTGAGTTGTTGAATAAGTAATATAATACTTGCACAAAAGTAGTGTCAACTGCCAATATTGTTCTTCAGTTTTTCTTGGTTACAGCATATTTTACTTCATGTGCTTTTTTCTTATTTATTTCTTTTAATTTTATGAATGTAATCTTTATTTTCTTCTGTTTTTGATAGCCTCTTTTTCTTTTTAATCATTTTTCCTTCCCTGTGTTTTTTTTGCCTGCATAATTTCCATCTATTTAATAAATTTAAAAATGTTCAAGCACTTTTTATTTCTGCTTTATGACTTGCTTTTTAGGTCAAGAAAGAATTTTATTAATTTATTCTAATGAAACAGCCCTAAGAATAAATAAAACAATGGCTACAAATGCTACAGTGATCCAAGTCTATTCTATACATAAAATAGAATGTTTATATATTTCCAATTAATACTTAAATCTTTTAAACTGGAATTATTTATACATAGTTATTTTTCAAAAAACTGTGAAAGATATAGCCTACCATGAAACTTAAATATCTTATCTTCTCTCCTTGATTTCAAAATGATTTTATTATTACATAAATAAACATGTAAAATGATTAATGTAGGTTCTGGTTAAGTTTGAAATGCTATTTAATAAACAGAAAAATCACTGAATTATTTTGAATGTTGTTCTTTGATCTATACATTTCCACAAATGTTGCTACATTAAATACAAGAAGTAGATTAATCCAATTACATTTATACAAATATAATGAAGCAATATTTTCTAGTAATGACAACAATTAATATGATAATATATACATAAATACATCCTTATATTTAATGCAGAATCTTTCCTCACAAGAAAAAGGTTATTATAATAAAAGAGCAAAAGATAGTAAGATTGAGGCTCAAGGAAGTTTAACAAAAAAAACAGCACTTGGAGAGAGTGTAGAGGAGGTTGCAGCAGCTGATAAACGAGAGCAAGAGTATCATCAAAATATGCTTCAGTACATAGAATCCATAATTACCATGAGTATTAAACATAAGAGTAAGTATTTAACATATTACATTCATATATTTAGGGAAAAGAAAAATGTATTATAATTAATTACAGATTTGGAAAAATTAAAATTTATGGTCATACATGTAAATTGGTTCTTCACAAGAGTAATTGGAATCAACAAATATGATTTTTGCCCTGCAGAATTTGCAGTAGGAGAATTTAGTTTGGAAAATGGTATAGAAAACATATATCATGAAATTATCAATTCAAAGATACCATTAGGATGGAAAAGAGATGCAATTGAAATAAGCCAGCAGACCCATAGAATACCTGTGGAGCTTCCCCAAGGAAAAAACGACTTCTTACTTATGTATAACAAATTGATTGCACTGCTGAAAAATAATCAAACTGGAAACAAATTGCCCCCATTGTTTACATCAAAAGGTTTAGTCCCTGCAGTAAAATCATTATTAACGAAAATGACTCATGCAGCTGGAGTATCTTCGGATGATTTTCTAATCTATTCATTGGAAGCACTTTTTGGCTCATTGAGAAATACTGCTACACAAAGTGTAGACGATTGCACCATACCTTTAGTAGTTGCTGAAAATGAATTTGGAAAAGATACTTTCTTGTCTGTCTGTAATCTCGAATGTGATTTTCATAAATGTATCGATGGCTCATCTCAGTACTGCAGTATGTCTATAATAAAAAGATGGGGTTTCACAATATGCGATTATTGTTGTGAATTTCTTGGTGTACCAATGGTCGAAGGAGTACATTTCCCTATTGCTCAAACAATCGATTATGTCTATCAAGAAGTTGCAGAACAGGAGGGCATTGATACTCAGCTGCAACTCATAAGTCTCAGTGATCAGTCAGAAGTGATCGAATGGAATGGAGTGACTGAAGAACATAGAAGAAAAGTGTCTGAACGAAGTTATGCAGAAGAATTACGACGACGTAATGAGAGCAAGCGAGTAGATGTCATTGATCACAGCAAACTCAATGCACCATCAAACAATGCAATTTTAACTGGTCGACCATTACGCCTTCCTAAAACAACATCATTAGCTATGAATGAAATAAAGGAAAATATTAATTATTTAAATGTAACTGATTTCCCGCCATTAGAAGGAGAAGCTAAAACACCAAAGAAAGACGTAAAGAATGTCAAGCTTCCACTGGGAAGAGGACGTTGTCGTACCTAAGTGTACAAAACATGTGGAATATTTACAACGTTGTTTACCATTTATTCAGTATTACTGTGTTTTGATATTTTTTATCATTTTTTGTGAAAATTGGTTATTACATTTGACTTACATAAGATGATGTATGTACAAAGGTTTATTTTATAAAAGATATATTACATACATATATTACGAAATACTTAAGATTTTTTATTACCAAAGATGAAAAATAGATGTATCAATTATGTTATTTTTAAATTTTGATAAAATATGATGTTATTTTTATAGATAAAATAAACAATTTGCAATTAAAAATTTTGTAATTTCATTTAATTCTTGTAACAATTTGTTATAAATGAATAACATATTATTTCCAAGTTTTTATATAACGTTTATTCTATTAACATACAATGTACTCTATAGATAATAAATTAATTTCACTTTTACACTTTAACAGTACACTATTTATATTGGTTTATAAAAATTGGTGCGAATGTAAACTTTAGAATAATAGAACATTTATGCACGTAAAATTTTAGTTAAATGTTTGGTATTGCCTCGGTAAAGAGAGTAAAGTTTGTGCAAATACGAAACGAGAATAGAATTTCACTGTCGATATTCATTCCGCAGCCACCATTTGGCAGCGAATGTTTTCTACCGGAAAAGGAAATGGAAATTCGTAGTCACACCCTATCGAAGGATGGCTTCAGGTCGCCAAGCGATTCTCCAGTATGACTGGAACGAGGTATATCTACCGCTTGAATCTTAAACGTATTGCGTAACTCTAGTTGATATTCATTCATAAACGAAATTTAATCATGAAGATTTGAAGATGTAATAATACAATACTTTATTTAATTTTAATTCTGTTATTGTTCAAAATAGTACAAAAAATGTTAATTGCAGAAATGAGAATCTGAAACGTTAAAACAGCTAATGTTATGAGCAACAAATTAATTATTTGGACGTATATTCTATAAATAATTATTTATTCAAAGTATAATTTAAATGTAAAAATTAAGCGACCTTTTTTTATTGTTGCCCATTCTCTTTACGAATAAATTTCAATTTTTGAATCAAGTTTATCTACCAAGAGAGTCCTCAAAGATTTAATAGCCCCAGGATCCCAGAAATTTAATTTGGTCTTAATATCCACCCATTGAAATATACACATTTTGCAGTTTTAAAAAATTTTATAGACTTTCAAAAATCTTCTTAGACTCAAGGTGTTAAAAAAGTTATTCTGTTTTAAAAGGTGAAGGAATATTTTTGAAAGCCACTGGCTCTCATACATATATCATATTTCCCGGAAATTTCTCTTCTTCTTCTTTATGTTACTAGAAGCAAATGCAACAGTTTGGATAAATATATACACAGTGACATTCATTCCTCAGAATAGGCTTTATTACATTTAATAATCTCCTTCCACCATTTAATTGGATTATAGAGGTCCTTTATGTAACACTGTGTCGACTTAACTTCAAAATACATGGGCAGTGTACATAAGTATGTATCTTCGAGAGTGCTTCTATACATATATACAATATATTGTTACATAGTGCTCGCCATATTGTGGAAGAGATGATAATCTGTTGAGGAAATGTCGGAGGAATCTGGTGGGTGAGATAGAACCACCCAATTCAACTCTGTAACTGTCTGTTGGGTGATTTATCCAGGGCGAATGTTATCCAGGAGCAGAGAAATCTGTTCTATCCACAAGATGGCTACTTCGAGTTTTACGTGTGTTCTAGTATAATACATCGTTCGGAATGCGACTCCATCGACAGTTTATCTTTGATCTAGGAGTTCAAATCGTTCACCGCAATAAGGGTTTAAGGGACTCTTGAAAATACTATCTGTATATTTTGAGACTAAGTCAATACTATTTTACGTGAAAGACATTTATGATTTCGTTACATAATTCAAAAAAGGAGCCTATTTTAAAAAATAAAACTTACTGTGTAACTGTTACCGGCGAACGACGCGCGCGTAATGGTTGCCAACTGTCTAGTGGATTTCCCACCGATTTGTAGCTAAGATCGCTCGATTGTAATAGCTCTACTTCCGGAACGCATGGCGGACACGTCGGAACGTATCATTGTACGAGTAATCACATTTCATCATATATTTTATATAATAAATACTTTTGCACTTTTAACCGTGTCGTGTTCCACTGCCGCTCCCACTCCTGCCATCAGTAACCAATAGATTAAACTTTCGAGAGGATCAGATAGTTATACAAGCTGTGTCTTTAAAACATGGTGTCTAGCCTTATATTTTTGTTTTACTAGTAGAATTTCGTTATATTGCTGCATAGTCGACTTCTTTACTCTTCAACGATTTTTGACCTCTTTGAATTTCGCGCATTGGTATAGACAAGACTGGATTAAGATGTCTGGGACCCGAGGCTATCACACCTTCAAAGGTATATAAAATTAAGCATTAAAAAAAGATTTTATATAATATTCGTTGTAGTAAATGGGAGGCTTATAATGGGGCTCATGGTTGTAGCCCTCATTAGATCTCCCCTTAATTACCCATTGGTGATGAGTTTATTTAAATAGGCCCGAATACGTTAAGTGTTGCATAGAATGAGCTTTTGCTATATTATTATTTATAAAAATGTCACTTAAAGCCTCATCTGCGGCAATATAATGAGAATTTATTCTATTGAGTTAAAACTCTGGAACCATAATAATTAAATAATTTGAAAAATAACTTAGATAGATAGATAGATTTATTTGACGCTTCCCTGCCGGGATTGCGTGGCGCTTTTAAGGAGCGTTCCCCAACCTTACAAACAGGGTGTCCCAGCTTACGTGTTATAATTCCGTTATTACGTAACTACTAATGATACAAAAAATTGTTGATATAGAAATTGCATGGTAAAAAAAAGCAAAAATACTGATCAAATTGAGTAACCTCCTCCTTTTCGAAGTCGGTTAAAAATGGGGCCAATGTTTTGGCTGAAGTGAAAAATCTATTGCAATTATTAGTTTAAGAGATATGATGGTCAAGTTTTGTTTTTTAAATGGAACTATATATTCTTTTTCAGATCATGTAATAGTGCTTCTCAAGACGAATTCATTAAGCTTTAATGTATACACTCGATTTTAATTAGTTTTCAAGATATAACGTTTACAAATTACCCGATTTTCAGTAGATACGTCTCGGTTTGAGTGGCAAGTCGTAAAAGCGGCCCTATTGTTGCGGTAAGTGCCATAGCGGGGTCTACACTAGGAACGGCAGACCCAAAGAATAACCGCACTTACCGCAACAATAGGGCCGCTTTTACGACTTGCCACTCAAACCGAGACGTATCTACTGAAAATCGGAAAATTTGTAAACGTTTTATTTTGAAAACTAATTAAAATCGAGTGTATACATTAAAGCTTATTAATGAGAAGCACTATTACATGACCTGAAAAAAAATATATGGTTCTATTTAAAAAACAAAACTTGACCATCATATCTCTTAAACTAATAATGCAAAAGATTTTTCACTTCGGACAAAACATAGGCCCCATTTTACCATGTAATTTCCATATCAATAATTTTTTGTATCATTAATAGTTACGGAATAACGGAGTTATAACACTTAAGCTAGGATGCCCTGTATATTTAACAAACAAACTTAACTTCATATATTCCCCAATAATATAAAACCAAAAAGTAAAATCAGAAAAAATTCAAAAACAAAGTCATAAACAAAATCGTATCAAAAATCATATCCTAACTTGAAAAATTATAAATTTTAACTCAAAGTCCTAACTTCTAGATAAACAGTTAAACAAAACTAGACTAATCTAAGCTAAACTAAACTAAACTAAACTCTTGCTCCTGGTTTCCACTATTGATTAACTTTAACCTAAATTATAATTTGTAGTTTCAGTTTTCTCTGTTGATTGAGTCTCCCTCTTATTTTCTTTTCTTTCCTTTCCTTTTAGTTGCCCCTTTTCGTTTCTTCATCTTTCCTCTTCTTGTATATCTTCCTTACTTTATTTTCCATTCTCCTTCCTTTTCGTCCCATTTCCACTCCTCGCCGTCCACCCATAGCTTCCTATTGCTATATTCGACTCTTCTTCCCTTTCCTCTTTTCTCTCTTTCCTTTTTCTCTGATTTTCCATCTCATTCTCCTTTTCTCTCTTGACAGATCCTCCTCTACGCTTACATGTCAATGCTCCCATATTTCGTTCTTTCTCCACAGTATTCTTCTACTATCGTCCTCCTCTTCTAGCTCCGTCAGGATGATTCTCCTTCCTCCTTCCCCTATCACTTCAGTCAGCTTCCTTATTTCCACTTTTTTCCCTAGCTCCATTTGCAGCATGATTCTGATTCTTCTGCTTCTTTTTTCTTTGTCTTCTTCTTCCATTCCTTTCCATACTATACTCCTATTTCTTCTTTCTTTATGTGCTCACTCTTCTCTCTTCTGCTTCCCCTGCTCTTCTTCTCATTTCCTCTACCTCTTTCATCCATTTTTCTCCTTCCTCGTCTTCTCCCAGTATCTTTTTTACTTTTTCATGCCATCCTTTATTTCTTTCTTTCCTTATCCAGCATCCCTCCCAGACGTGCTCCCAGGTTTCTTTTTCCCACTCACATATCCTGCACTTTATACTCTTCTCTTTCCCAGTATCTTGCCTCTTTCACTTCGTTCCCCAATCTGAATCTAGCTATCCTTCTCTTCCTTCCATCCTTTTTCCAGGTATCCTGGAATTCCCGGACTCTTAACTGTTTTATACCATCTATTATATGTACCTTGACTTCATTATCTTTTCCCACCTTCCACTCTCTTGCATCAGCTTGTCTGCCTTTTCCATTTCTTCATAACCGATGGGAGATGTCCCCATTACATCTTCTTCTTTCTAGGTTCGGTATTTCTATTCCTCTTTCTATAAAAAACTTTTTCCTTTCCTCTTCCCTTGTTTCTCTTCTTATAAATTCTTCCCAGCATTCTCTCGTCGATTCCCCTCCCCTTCCTTCCCACAGCTTCCTTTCAAAAGCCCAGGCTAATTTCCCTGCTTTTACTGTTAGTTTTTGCCTTTGGAACCCTTCTCTCACCATGTACCCTGGGCTGCACCAATCCAGTCCTATTGTCCATGTTAGGAATCTTTCTTGTAACCATTCTATCTCCTTCCACTCTTTCCACCCCCATACTTCTGCCCCGTAAATTCCAAAAATAACTTTTGTACACATTGTATAAAACGAGTATTATTATTCAATTTGTAGGCGTTTAGTAGACGCCCTTAACTGGAGCTGGCGACCGCCAGGTGGCTGCGGGATCAGCACTGTCCTCGTTGGTGGTCGCCCTGCATACAAGTTCCGAAAAGTGGCGTTATAAATGTCTGGGATAGGGATCGTCTGCCCCCCCCCCCCCCCCCCCCCCCCACGAATCTAGCAGACGATCCCATGACAAAAAAATTTTTCTGTTACTACAAATTATACAATAAACTTTTCTTTACGATTAATAGAAACACTAAAATATTTATTTAAATAAACATTTATACGGCTTTTCTGCATAACCACTTAGACTTCAGTGTTATCTTACATATAATAATCATTAATTGTAAGACCAAAAATTTGAATAATCAAATCCTTGAACTGTAATCTAACAATAAGTAGTTCAACGATTGTATACTTTTTGATACAACACAAAATTTCTATCAGAACAGATTTTTAATTCCTTCGTTAATAATTTATTTAAATTTTCAATTTAATATCTCTTTTAAAATCAATATGAATATTTTATATTCTTTTAATTAATAAATTACAATTCATATTAATTATTCAAGTGACCTGCTTCATAATTTAATAAATTAATCAAATCGGATGTTTAATGTTATTTTAGTCAAATAATTAAAATACAGTTTAAGGAAAGAAATATTAGAGGTTAAATATACATAATTAAAAGACACCAGTATTCATTAGATGTGATCACAGCAAATACAATATACGTACATATTTTTCAGCATATAAAAAATTCTATAACATTATTCACAGAAAGAGTTTTTATATATCTAATATTTTTAGTGAAACATAAATTAACCCTCGTATGACAGACCATGGAGAGAGATCCAGTTTTAATTAAATTTCGTATTTAATATTATTTTCATTTTCTAAATTTCACACTGTTCCTTGAAAAAATATTATTCCGATATATACAATTCTTTCATTTAAAAATTATACATTTAACTTTAGGATAAGACACTTCTGTACGTTTTATAAGTTTGGAGCACGATTCACTTAGGCCCCGCTGTTCAAGGGTTAAGCTAATTAAATTATTATGAACTATAATAATTTATTATTTATGTTCCACACTTCATTTAGAAGAAAGCTTATGTAATTAGTAATATAATTTTTGAATTTGATTACAACAGTACAGTATTCGGGCACCGAATCGATTACCCTTTTATTGTATCGCATATCGATTTTCTCTGATTCATTACAAAAAGAACTCATTAAATGGACTTTATTGTGAAGTTCTTTATCATGTATCCTTTGTTCTACTTCATTCTTTATATACTTTATAGGTTTAGCGTACGTAATTGCGATAGCCATTACAGAACAGAGAATTTATAGTATCCTGCTACTTCATTATGGACGCCTCCAATTTTTAACTTTCATTTTCTCAGTAAAATATTGAGATTATAGTAAATTTGGTAAATACAACTTTCGCGCTATTAGATTGTTTGGAATATACATACATATTACTTACTCTGTGCCGTGAGATACTTGGTAATTATTCTAATTTATATTCGTTTGAAAACATTTAGTTTATCAAAACACTCGCTTAATTAAAATTTGTTTAATACGTTAAAGATGTTTTTGTACAAAATATATGTTTAGGAACATTGGTGCAACTAGGACCTTTTTTTAAGATGGGCCAAATCAAAAGAATTTTAAAATAATAGAATATTAAGATATTAGAATATTAAAGCTTAGAATATTAAAGGGTATTAGAGTATTAGAGTACTACAGTCCCTAGCCATCGAATTAGGACCACTACAAATTTTCAGCATTTTTCACGTTTTACGCAAAATCAAAAGGCCTGTTCAAATTGTAATGATATAATTTATTAGCTACTAACATAATACACTACTACTGTACATAACATTATTAACACATGTTAATATTTTGTATTTCCACCCTTTGCTTTGATGACAGTTTGTATCATTTCCGGCATGCTCCGTATACATTGCTTGATCATATGCTTTACATCTTCATTATTTTCCCAAATATTTGTAATTCTTGTTTTTAACTCAGATAATGTGGTGCTTGGAGAGTTGTAAATAAGTCCTTTGAGTAGGCTCCAGACAAACACTCGCACGGCCCTTAATCGCTCATCGCCCAGATAATTTTATTTTCATCACAATAGTAACAAATCTATTGCTATGTATACCTGGTTATCAATGTATTTAGTAACAATTT